TCTGTAAAAATTATTTCGTACATCATTAGAAACAATGTTACATGTATATCAACATTTACATTTGGAAAAAAAGGAAAAGTTTGATTCATCATATAATATGACCTTTAATGCTTTAGCCACAAACAATTACTTTTCTATAACATGGTATGAAGGAGCCATTTTAAAACACTTTTTAGGTGTAGTAGCTGCCCTCTCAAGGAAAATATATGCTTCTAGAGTACCTTGAGCAACATAAAATTCAATCAATAGCAGCAAATAGGTAGCTAAAGAAAGCTAACAATTCACAAGGAAACTAGTGGTTAGGCAAGCTGGCTCATGGTAATTAATCAACAACTTTCCTAAAAGTTTTCATGGGTTCATTGATGGATTACATTAAGTATTAAATATTATATGTTAATACTATTTACAATAAACACAACACTTACTAAGAATAAGGCCCTCGCAAACAGCCCGATAAGTAGGGCTCCTCACTTCACTTTCAGGTTCCCTCATATTCACAAGAGCCACCTCTCCAACATCATCATCATCATCATTACTCACACTGAGTTGCAGTCTGACAGGTGCAGTGGTGAGCACAAGATTTCCTCTACAATTTAGGCTTAGGTTCACATGCTCGCCAAGTTTTGTTCTAAATATTATTCTCTCATTTGCAATGGTACCATATTTCAAGCTGATGAGGCACAAGGATTGCCTAGGTTTGCAATTTTGGTAGATCCCTTTTGAACCCTTAGGCGCTATATTTGCTTTAGGAAATGCATCTTTTATGCCTCTATAAGCACCATCATCAAAGCTTAGGTCCATGAGGATCTTATCTGTATCCTGTAAAGAAACAAAATAGCTCAATGAATGCCTTAGTTGTACATAAGCATACATATTCACAAAAATTGTATGAGTACAAAAATCAGATCTTAAGTCATGCACAGACTTATCCTACATGTAGTTTTTTCCACAAATCACTTCAACTACCTAATTACTTATGGAAAAAAATGATAAAGATAAAAATAATGGTAATATTTGGACATGAGTTAGAATATAGATTGTAAGAATGAATCTTTAATTTTGATGGAATTACTGCTTCAATCTTACTATTGGAATTCAAACTAATTATTCATATTTCACACAGGTTTGCTTAGGAAAAGAAATTGGAGTTTGTTTTTTACTTTTTTCTTTAGTGGCTATAAATACCAGCAAGATTTCCATGAAACCCTGCACTCCATTATGAATAAATTTTTTTGATAAAATTACCTTTAGGACTAAGGCTTTGTTTAAGCTTAGCATGGGGTTAGACGCTTTCTTTTCCATATTCCCATTGAATTTCTTTCAAAGAGTTAGACTGTGAGTGAGTTTTGGTTTTCTCATGTAAGATGTTTTTGTGTAAACAAGATGTACAATCAATTGAGTAAAATCAAGGTTAAGCGTCTCCATTTTATTGTTGCAATTTTTATCCATTTTATTGTTGCAATTTTTACTATTTGGGAAAGCATCCAAAATGTTCATTTGAGTCTTTCGTCTGCTGATTTCAGAACTAATAACGCTGAAATTTTCCCAATATCCCTATAATCTTGGATAAAACTTCCACGTTTGAGCTATTAATCACAGAGTGTATACGAGAAACCCCCTCCAAATTGTAATTATGAATACCGCCCTGATTACCACAACGCCAGTCTGCTCAGCCAACTCTTTACCTGTCGTCGACGCTTTGTGTTCTTTCGAAAGAGATAAAAATCTCCGACTTGCATATATCTGACCATTGAACCGAAACTAATTTTTTTCTTCTTCGACTTCTTCGTTCTTCCAGAGGTATTTAAAAGCGCTCTTGGCTAAACGAAAAGGTTCACCCACGCCGCAGCCATCTTCATCGATCTCTGGCAAAAATGGATGTGTTACCTCTACTTTGGGCCTTGGCAATACATATAACGACGTACAAACCTTCTTCAGTGTTTTCTAAAGAAACGGTAGCCGCCCTAACCATCATTTTTGAAACAAGAAAACTTGCTTTACATACGCCTCTATAGCCGCTTTCCCTTTCCGAGAAAAAAAAGTTGAAAATACCGCTCACTGCATAAAATCTTGTAGATTGGTCAAAATGGATCACGTGGTTACCATCTGGTGTGGCAGTTACTTCGTGTACGCGGACACAAATAGTTATTTGACTGGTAAAGATACGTCATACCCCACTACACAATATTACGGCTCCCCTATACGAGGCTATTCTGTCGAAATACAAAAATATTTATATAATAAATTACAATGGGTAAAAGAATATTTACATGTGTTGCGAAGAAAAAAGACAAAAAAAAAATAATAGTAATAATAATAATGATGATAAAGTGGGCCACCTTCCTTTTAAATCTTAAAATATCGTTTGTGCTTCGAATGTTTCCTGGAAGGAGGTTGTATTCTTTTGCCCCGCGAAAGGCGAAAGAGCGTTGACCAGTTGATAATCTGCTTTTAGGTAGGTTTAACTGTGACATATTTCTAGTGTTGCGTCCCGACACTTTAAATCTGTCATGAAATAAATCACAAAGATAAGGTGGTGCTTGCTTTGTTCTACACTTATGGACCATGGTAACGGTATTTAATTGAAATTTTTGGCGGACGCTTAACCAACCAAGCCGGGGATTTGCGCGCAGCAGAGACATGATCAAATTTTTTGATTCCTAGGATTATTCTGCAAGCGAAGTTCTGAATGAGTTGGAGCTTAGAAATATTTTGCCGGAGGTATTACCCCAAACAGTAGAACAATAGAAAAGCTTGCTGAAAACAAGAGGATTAATAATTAAAGTAAGAGTTTTGTTGTCCAAAAGATGTTTGATTCTATTGATACCACGTAAATTATAGAGGCAGCTTGAGGACAGTTTAGATACGTGGTCGTCAAAGGTTACGGCAGAGTCGATCCAGACCCCCAAGTCTTTTACAACAGGAGAGAGCTTAATATTCTTCCCCAATAGAACTACATGAGGTAGAGATAAGTTTCGCGTTAGTTGTGGTACGCCAACGACAAGGAGCTTAGTTTTGTTTGGGTTGATTAACAGAGAGTTTAGTGTGCACCACTTTGCGATCTCGCAGGGATCACTATTGAGGTCAGGAATGGCAACACTGACGTCTGACGGGGGAAGAACCAAAAGCAGCTTGGTGTCGTCTACATAGCCCATGGCTTCGCACTTCTTCGGAACAAAGAGGAGGTCGTTGACGTACAACGTGGACAAAGCTGGACCGAGAATGAACCCTTGAGCCACACCTACTGTCAAAGGGAGGGGGTCAGATAGGACACTACCGATCCTGACAACTTCCTTGCGTGATGATAGGTAACTCTTTAAACCAGGCTAAAGTGGGGTCAGACACATCCAGTAGGTGCAGCTTTGATAGTAAGCTGTCGTGTTGGATGCTGTCGAAAGCTTTAGAAATGTCGAGTAGTACAACAACAGATATTCGTTTTTCATCCATATTCTTAAGGAGCTGGTCCGTGTAGTGTAGTAGTGCGGTTTCAGTGGAGTGGAACTTTCTGTTTCCACTCTGTAGGCCGGATATCTTGCTATTTTTGTCCAAGAAGTCCATAAACTGCGTGTGAGCGGCCCTCTCGCATACCTTTGATATTATCGGTAGGAGGGATATAGGACGGATGTTTTCAGGGTCGTCAGAATAGCCGGATTTAAGGTTTGGGATGACTACTGCGGACTTCCATGCCTGCGCAAAGCAATTCGATGCGAATGAAGTATTAATCAGATTGGTAATGACGGGAAGGGTGGCCGGTACACTGTCTTTAAGTACTCTAGCGGACACTCTATCTAGACCGGGCGTTTTGTTTAATGGGATATGTTTGACAATCTTTTCAATGTCCTGTTCCGTCACAGCATGAAACTCAAATTTATTCGCATTTTGGAGATCTTCCGCAGCTGGTACCACGAGCTCGACTGACTCATCCGAGAGGCCACTGTGATCGCATAGGGCCTTGGTTTTAGGGGCTGCAGCTACCCCTACTGAAACGTAGAAATCATTAAATCTGTTCGCTTGGACCACTGGATCTTCGACAGTAGTCAGTGGTGGATCTCTGTTGGGAAGGCAGTGATTTATAACTTTCCAGTGTTTGTGTTTCCGTTGCACTTCAGTAGTTCGGAGCGAACATATTCCTTTTCAGTGATTCTTATCTCTCGTTTAACTTCTTGACTAAAAAATCGAAAAGCGTTCCAGTGGAGTTTGTCGTTTGTTTTACGCGCCTTCTTCTGCCAGCTGTCGCGGATTTTCATCAATTGTTTGATCTCAGGTGTGATAAACGGATTCGGGCGTGACTTGATCTTGATGCGTTTAATTGGTGCTTGTTCACTCAGCGTGTCGAGAAATAATCTATTGAATACATCAATTTGATCGTCGAAGTCGTCAAAAATATTAACAATGTGAAAAGGGACATACATCAAATCGCTTAGGAATAACTCAGAGTTGTAGTTTTTGTAGCTCCTGTTGAAAATAAAAGTAGGCCGAGGCTTTGGGGCTTTGAGGCAACAACAGAAAAACGCTATCTAAAACAATTGATTCTTAGTCATTCCGTACAAGCCCATAAGTTCAATTAATGTCTCTTTATTGTCGCAAACGAAGATATATACTGAAACTAGGCGTAATAATACGGATAATAACTATTTAAATTATAAATGCGCATAACCTGAACCTGATCTAATAAGAGCTATACGCTTCTATTACTATATATAACATTACATATTGATTAATTTTTGGATAATATGCTTATCCCTTTTTTACCTAATCACCCAAAATCAATTCTTTAATTAGGCATGGTATCATAAATGAAAACTTTTCTAACGCTTATTAAAAATAAAATTGACCTCATACTACAAACATTTGCATTTTTGCAAACTTTGAAGTTACTAGCGTTCCTTCTTCATTTCATGCTTAATATTATTAGGGGGAAATTTCAAACGAACGAATGCTTTGTTTACAAAAGGCAAAATATAACTTGTGACTAAAACATAAACATAAAACATAACTACTTATGTATCTTCTGGGTCATTTCAATATTGACCTTAGTATTGGACTAAGGGAAAACTCCCTTTTTAGGACATTCATATTAATGACGTCAAAATACAGATTAAAAATCTGTGAGCTGATGTCCTTTAAAAATTTAAAACAGAAACTTACAGGCCCTGTAAAACTAAGTTAGCGCTTTATGCAGCTTTCCCTTCACTGCAAGAACAGGCGTAAAGTGTACTTCTTTCCCGCACTTAACCAAATCAGTATGGAATTCTTTAAAACTGAGGACCATCTACTGCCTTATGATAGAGACTCTTTACAAATCTTTTTTTTACAAATTCTCAATAGTTTGGTTAAACCCACTAACTATGGTGTGGTTGAGTCCTTTGCCATTAAGTTCTGTAAAAACCAGAACAATGGTAAAAATCACATAGAGCCAATGAAACCTCAAGTCACAAACATGTGACTAGGGTGAGACTGGCTTCAATTTAACTTTGTGCTTCGTTAGGAGGGTAAGTTTTGATATTCAACTAAAGCACTGAAGTAAAACAAAAACGTACCTAAAGGACTAAAGGCAAACAATAGACATGTAAGCCAACGAAGGCTTCTGAAACGTTGTGCTCAATTCAGGAACTTCAGCAATGACTGAAATATAACATTATGTTTTAAGAATGTATAAATATCTACATAATACATCTTGAAAAACAGCACTGATTATTTCATTAATCTTAAAATTGTGTTCTCAATCCCCATTAAAAAATATCGCCTTTTGGCGTCAGTTTTAACTTCCACAACTCGATTTCAGGTGGACATTTTCTCCTATTTCTTGGGCATGGCAGTTCATGTATCCGGTCAAATAATTAAACTTGATATTTCCTTGGACTCAAAAGGCGTTCCCATCTTCATCGTCTTTTTCCTCAGGATCAGCTTCAGGATTCTCCGCTTCGACTGATGTTTCTTTAAGCTCGTCTCCTGAGTAGAAAGAAATAAAAAAAGTTGAGCATCTACAATATCATTACAGGCGTAAGCTGGTCTTAAAACTCTAAAAGCTAATATCAGGTTTCTTGGCGAGAAACCTCAAGGAATACTGCTATTCCGCCAGGAACACTTGCTTATCCATCCAATATTTTTAAATTGTTTAAAGAAGACATATTACACAATACAAACGAATCAAAACTTTTTGCTTCCATACCCCCCTGACAGCCAAAATTTCCTCATAAGGGTCCCATAAGCCTTATAGTCAAGGCTCATGGTTTTATTTTTACGGTTAGGGCTTACAATTTTTTTTTTCTTTCTTTATCTACCGTTTTGTAATTGTGATCTTGAGTATCTGAGATGAACCCGACTCCCTTCCCTTGGTTACCTTTGATAAAATCTTCACATTTAATCAAGGAAAGAAAATAAAATGTTTCAATGACGCAGTTCTGGTTTTTTCTGACAGGCAACAAAACTCTGGCGGGTGGGTGGTTGCCAAGCCTTGCGCCCTTCTGGGAGGTTAACCTCCCTAGGCGACACATATCGTTGGAATTAACGACCTGATCATAATAATTATTCAGATCGATTGGTGACGAAAGTGCGTGGGGGAAAAATTAAAAACTATTACTGTTATGATTTAAACATTCTTCTGCAGAAGGGTGTAAAAGGTAGGGTGATTATTTAGTTTGAACATTACACAATATAAGAAGTTCAATGTAGTTACTTAGGTTGAGGCCCTCGCCGAGAACTGGGTAAGACGGCTTACTTAAACCGTCAACTCCTGAAGTCAGAAGTGGTTCTTCCATCTCCACAACAGCGCCATCCACAACATCTTTGCTATCTCTCACATGACTCAGTTTTGGTGCCCAGCTAAAGAAGTATGATGTCTCCTTAGGTGCCTTAGGTGTACAGTCTTGGTAACTATCTTCGGTTAAAATTTTGGAGTTAAGAAGAGAATCTCCTATGCCTCGGTGAGCGCCTTCAGCACAGCTGAGGTCCAGGAAAATCTTATCCATATCCTGCAACCAAAAGCATTGTTTAATAAATACCTTGCCACCTTTGAAGTGCACAAACCTTTTAAGAGTCCAGATAAGATTATAATTAAAAAAACCAGCAACAGTAACAACAACAACAATAAGAACAGTATCATCAACAAAAACTAAGCAAACAAACAAATCAAAAGGTACTCCAAAGATATGATCATGGTCAGGATCGTTCAAATCCCGTCACCCAGAAAATGATGCGGTTATTTTTAAAAATCGACTCTATGATTAATTCTACACGATGAAATTATAAGTACTTAATTGTATGAACAGTTCGAACGTTTCAAAAGCACTATCTAGGGATTACTTTTTTCTAGACAGCAAGTTATTCCAAATCGAAGTAAAAAAATAATAAAAAAGCCTGCTCACCCATCGTGGACGTTTCGTGTTTCCTTGAAAGAGGAATTCATCCCCTACTTGAACGTATTTAACAACTGAACCAACTTGAACGTTTTCAGCCACCACTTCCTCATCCTCCCAAGTACCTTTGAGATCCTTAGTCGCCAGTTGAAAAGCTTCACCCACACTGGATCCTTCTTCATTGATCTTCCTTCCATAAATTATGATAGTATCACCACTAGGGTGAGTTTTTGCTTTTTCAACAACACCGCAGTGACCTTGTTTAGCATTGCCTACATCTGTTAATGTCACTCTGTCCATATGTTTGTTGATAGGCTTAAAATCATCATGCATTATGGAAGAATCACCGGGCGATTCTTCCATAATGCAAGGCTTAAACTGTTCACATCTCGGGCTGATACGTAAACAGTTTAAGCCAAGCTCAACATCTGTCATCGAGTCTTTTCCATATTTGCCTTCTTCAACGATGTCTCTCGGACTGGGCATCTCTGTTTGGGTTTTCAACCTCTTTCCTGGCCTTTTAGGCAAACTTGCTGTCTTCTTCCCTCTCAGCTACGAGGAGAGAAAAAAGTTCACAATGTAACAGGAAGCGAAGTGTAAAAGTATGTTATCATTTCTTAGCCATAGTTGTGTTGATAACACTCAGTAGCCCTTGGTGAAAGGAAAAGAGGTGGAAGTAGGGTAATGTAAAAAGATAAGAGATAGGAAAGGTGAAAAACGCAAATGACAAAACATAGGAAACTTCAGCATTAACCCTTAATTGGAGAGAGATGTTTATCGTTTTGTCACGTGCGTAGAAAAAATAAAGTTCTAACGAGGAATCGAACTTCTGAATTTTTCGTTTATTTTTCTATGTTCCGCGTTCACGACGAAAAAACTACTCTCCCTCTTTCACTACAAGGCTCAAAAGTTATGGACCACTCTATTATCAATTACTTGTCACCCTTACAATACGTATTTTCTGAATGTTTTCTAGTTCAAAGTGTTTTTCTGTTTTGTTCTTCTTCGTCTTCTTTTTTCTGACAAGTACAAGCTGCCAGACATTAACTTAATCAATCACCACACATCCTACAAGAAGTGTAACTGCAGATGAATTCAGAGTGAGGGTTGACGCATCACTCCACTCATACGACTGATTTTTGAGATTATTAATAAAAATTTTTTCAGAAATATACCTTTAGAACTTCCAAACATACCTGTACATCTAACTCTCTTTCAAGTGATAGTTTAGTATCCTGAAAGTAGGTCAAATGATACAACAATCAGTCCATGCACTAAAAGCTACACATTGTTATTATTAGAATGTAAGTTGTTGCTTTACACTCTCAGAACTATGACTAAGCTTAGAGCTGCAAATAAACACTGACAAAAAATGTTTAAGACACATCAGATAAACAAATAAACGTTATTCATCAACTGGAGGGACCGTCTTGGAAAAAAAACTGTGCTCGAGGGTGGAACTCAAGACAGACGGCACAGCTTTTCCCAATAATGACCGACCTAGGCTGGTGAAAAACAGTTTTTTTTCCTGAAACTTGACGAAATGTTTGCCAAAGGAACCCGAAATATGTTTGACATTTCCGCGGCAGTTTGTATTTCATGATAGTTTTCTTTCTCTTGAAGCAGGTTTTTCTTTTCGGGATGTTAAAATTTGCTGTCGCTTGATAGCCTTCGCTGTCTGAATCAATAAATGTGAGTCACTTGTTACAATATTTACATCATTAAGCCTCTCTCGTAAATCGATTGAAAGATGCAAAATGAGCCTGGGTCTGGATGGGGAAATAAGGACCGCTGGAGGGCGCGGAATTAGCCAATCAGATTCGAGGATTTACGATTCCGGACCGCTGAGATGCTTAAGGAAAAAATGATACACAATGCAAATTGTGGATATCACCCTTTTCAGCCTGCTGCTAAAGTAAATCTTTTGGAACACAGCACGGGTAGGAATGCACCACTTGACATGCTTCACAATAATGAATACTTTTAAATTCGTGAAGCGTTTTAAATTCAGCCAAGAGACTGCCAGCGAGGAAACATTCTTTTGATCACATCTGAGATGTAACGAAGAAGACCAACGAAGTTCAGCTAAATAAGTTCGTGCTAATACAGGAGTGTTTTCAAAATGCACATAACATGAAGCTCGTTTCCTGACATATACCATTTGACGTACCTGTTTATATCAAATAGTGAGGTTAAATATGGTCAATTAACCAATGCGGAATTTCTACTACAAATTAAACTTCTTCTGGAGAGCAACCAAACATACCCTGGCATCAGCTTCGAACTTTCTACGCAGGCTCTTTACAAGCAGCTCGATTTCAA